CCCCATTTTCTGTTTCAGTGCTTGGTATCGGCCATGGGAACAAGCTGCTCACTGATCTCTATAACTGCCACCTGACCAAGGTAGGTGCTGGCCCTGAGCAGGCCATGGAGCCCCAGAGTGCCATCGCACTCTGATCCTGCCCCAGTGCCCCAGACCAGCCTTGTGATGCTGATTTTGCACTTAAGTCTCAAACCTACCAATGCTTCTGTGAGCTTTTCAGAGTTCAGGGTTTCATCCTTCACATGAGCATCCACCTATGGTTTTTTGAGCAGAGGATGCTGCTGTCTTTTTGTGCAAAACTCTCATAGCCTGCACTTGTAGCAGTTGCATTCAATACTGCTACTCAATTGCTTGGAGCATTTTTTTGATAATTTGCACTCTTTGTCCTTTTTCCAGGTTTATACTGTTGGTGGGCTTTTTGGTAAAGCCACTGATGACTTCTCAGATACAGGGAATTTAGTAGAGAAGACAACATTTGGTAAGAAACTGATGTGTTTTGTTTTTTTTTTTTAAACAGAACACCAAACAGCAGATTAACTGCAAAGCATTTAATTAGGTAAATTGCACAATGACAAAAGCCACATCTTGAATGTCTTCTAGTCCTTGTTGATGTCGTAGTTCTCGTGTTCTAAGTCTAACTACAATATATACAAAGCCAGTGTGAATGCTGGTCACAGTGGTTGCTACTGGGTTGGTCAGGACCCAGATCTCCCTGTGAATCACACTTGGAGATAGTAGTTAGGAGATTTTATTAAATGAAAACATACAATAAGAAAACTGGAGCATCAACATTTTGGAATCAGTTAAGCAAAATAACTTTTCCCTTTGCAGTCCAGCTCTGTAGAGCCAGGGGAAGTGACCTTGCAAAGGCCACCCCTCAGCTCTCATCAGCCCCTTTTGATGTGCCTGCTTGAGGGATGGCAATACCTCAGTGGCACTTCTCAGCCTTTCCAGTTTCTGGATGGATAATTGAGACTTTGTTTCTGCCTTAATATTTGCAGATCATATCACAAGGGAGAAGCTGGAGAGGATTCTTGCTGTCATTCAAGGGACAAATCAAAAGGCCCTGCTGATGTGCGTATCCACCGGGGAAATGAGCTGATCTGATCCCAGTAGCATTTGCTGGTCTTCAAAACAAATGAGAGGATTTTGTTTCCAATAATCAAAGTCTTTAGAGATTGGAGTGCTACCAAGGGGCAGAGAGGAGTTACACTGAGTGCTCTGTGCTTTGCTGAGAGGTTGCAGTTAAGTCTTCCTTGTATCCCAAAATCTCCAGTCTGCTGGTTTAGGACCAATCTGCTATATTAGGACTGACAAAAATAACTTGTAGACATGACTAAGTACCTCCCTTCCAAACTGTGCTACACTACTGACAGTACATACACTACTAAAATATATGCAAAAACTCCCTGGATAGTTTTAAGAATAAAAATTGCATCTCTGTTTTATTTGGGATGGACACATATTTTGAATCTCTTTGGAGAGAAGTTCTAAATGTCTCTGCTGCTCTTTTTTTTTTTTTCCCCTAGGTATTCTAACATTGATATGAAAACACAAGAGGCATATGAGCTGGCTGTCAAAGGGTTGATTCGCCCCATGGGAAAAAGCCCCCCAATAATCACAGCAGTCCGATGCATCCAGTTTGCACTTCCAGAATTCCAGCTAGGTAGGACTGGCACAGAATGTACTGGGGAGCTCTGAGTATATATTATGGCAAATAAGTTGGTAAACTTCATTTTCTTACTCATTATTTACTGCAAAATGAGTTGATGGGAATTTCTTCTTGACTTGTAATTTCTCTGGTAAATCCAGCTGGCTCATAACTTTCTCCTTGACAGTTCACATCTAAACCCAAGGCTGGAAAATTTGCATCATGAATACCTATGCAGGAAATTCTTCTTAGCTCAATGTTTCAGTGTAATGCATTTCAGTGCTGGGTTTTGGGTTTTTTTAAAGTGTGGTCTGTTTTCCTGTAGCCAGTACCCCTTCCCTCACAAATTGTCTTATTAAAAAAGGTGCCTTTTTATCTCCTTTAAAATACCTATATTTCTACATTACTCTTCTATATCTATAGGTTTGTTTTCTAAAGTATTCACTTTGGAAGGGTGTGGAACACCCTGCAGTATTCCAGAAAAATCATACCATGCTCTTAGTGTCTTCTGCCAAACCAGTTCTTTCAGCATAACTGCGAGTGATGTCTGGATTTACAGTGTCAGAGCTTGTGTCAAAGCTTTGCTTCTGAAAGAATGTCTCTGTCCTCCTAGAAATCCATTGCTTGCACGAGACTCAGCAGTACCTCCGGAAGCTGGTTCATGAGATCGGTCTGGAGCTGAAATCATCTGCTGTGTGCACACAAGTGCGGAGAATACGCGACGGGGTTTTCACGGTGGACGACGCTCTCCCGAGAACCCAGTGGAACCTGCAGAGCATCCAGGAGGCAATTCGGAACTGCCAGCTCAAAGTGGAAACAGAGCTGGAGAAAACCCTGGGACACGGGGAGAACAGTCCTGTTCATCAGCTGGGTGGGGACATGGCTGAGCATGCTCGGCAGGAGCGTCCGTGAGCAATCCCTGCAGCACAATACGGCAGCGACGTGCCAGCAACGTGATGGACAGCAGAAGGGAAGAAGTTAATTGCAGTTCACTTCCACCCTTTCCCGGAGATGACTTTTATCAGAGGCCTTATTTTCTTCAGTGACAGGCTGTATCATTTTTTTTAAAGCATCACAAACAGTTCATTAACAGGAAGTTGCTGTGCCAAAATTCCCGTTGATTTTGAGAACATTAGGTTGCTAAGGGATATAAAAACCCATTCCTGAATTGTTTAGCAGCAGGAAGTAGTGTCTTAGAAAGCTGTATTCCCTTGACTGCACAGATTTGTTCTTTGCAACTGGCAGCATAACTTATCTGCTGTATGGATTTTATTTTCCCTGTGTTCTCCTGGAATGTTTTCTTTCCATTAGTCCTGCTCTCAGACACATGAGAGCTCAAAATTGGGCTCAGTGAGGGGTGTTGAGGAGAAAGCACAACTTACCCAAAGCAATGCAAGGAAATGGTTTTATCCAGAGTAGGCATATGATGAAAAGTGGTTTATAATGGGGACTAATGCACAGGATACACAAAAAATAAAACTGAAAATGACCTAACTGGGAAGAGGTTGGTTCTCTCAGTACTCATCTTTGTACATTGACCCATAAAAAACCCAGCAAGTGCTACTTTATTTTATCCATTTTTTCCTGAAGAGCCAAGGGTGTTCAGTGGTCTCTGGTATCCTCATCTGCAGCAGCTCCTTGCAGATAGCAGGTCTTGCCCATTGCTGAAACTATAAACTCTGTGATACCATTTGGTCTCTGTCAGCTCATTATAGCTGGGTCTGACTTTGCAGAAACACTTTCTAAATTTAAGGTGAAAATCTGGATTTACATTATTGCACTCAGTGATTTTCCAGTTATATATATATATATATATATATACTTAGTGAGTTTGGAGATTTATTTATGGAAAGCAGATTTGTTCTGTTCCTCTCCTAGACTTGGACAAAGACCAGCATATTTCATCCTCCAGGTGACAGCCATAAAGGTAAAGAGTAACTCTGGGAGAGGCAGTCACAGGGGCCATGATGAAGTACCTCAGTGGCAGCGTGCAGTCCTGTCCCGAAGCATCCCTGGAGTCCTTAACTTAGTCCCTGGAATTTTTTAGTTCCAGCTTCCTCTGGGCTGCACAGAGCAGCCACAACAGCCCTGGAATGTGGAACGCAGCTGCCACCACCTGGCAAAGCCATCGTGCTAGCAGCAGGGATTCCCTTGGGTTGTTCTCATCCTCCATGGACAAGGGACTTGGATCAGGGGACCTTCCCTGGACACCTGCCCAGTGCTACCTGAAGTGTAAACCCAGCCCTGCAGCCGCAAGCAGGACACTTGCACAGCTACAGCTGCCAAGTTTGAACCCCAGTGCTCCTACATAGTGGGGAAGAAAACATGGACTTCTCACTCCTTGAACAACGTTCAGTAACTTTCGTAATGGACTATACTTCATCCTGTCAGCTCATATCTCACACAAACTGAAGAATTTCCATATATACTTCCTATTGCAAAAACAATTTCCAGTTGCGTGTGTCACTGACAGAGGAACATTTTGGTTGGAACACTCCAGGCTGAACCAGTCCTTCTACACAGGAAATACCGGCCAAAACAGTAACTTTAGCAACAAAGTTTGCATTTCCCAGTTCTTGCCACCTTGTGACTTTTTTTTCCTCCCCTTAAAACTATTCCAAAACATGAGTGTTCCACACTTGGCAGAGGGGTATGTGGTGGAGACGGGTGTGAAAATCCCCCTGAGAGTCCACTCTGGTCAGGCCACAGGAAATATCCTGCACAGCTGCACAGCAACAGAGACTTACTTGGATGAATCATGGAATATACAGGCTCTTTCTGACCCCCTGCTTGAGACCATTCCCCAGAGTTTTTGAGGCAAAACAAGACACTTATTAGTGATGTTTCAGTGCCACGTTCAGAGCCAGGAGTGCAAAACTAATTATCTGTTCTCAGCAGCAGCCATGTGCTTGGTTTCTGGCTCCAAATCACAACGAAGACAGATTAATTTGATTCAAATTTGGAAGTAACAAGCAGACTGCAGCATGGGCCTAAGTGGAGACTAGAAGGTCTTTGAAATTAAAAATGGGCAGAAGGACACCAAGCCTGAGTAAAAAAGGAACAATAGATCTGCAGTCAGCAGAGCACTTCATCACTTCCAACTGCCCAAAGCAGCCAAATTTAGTCTGTACAGTCACCCTCAGCCCTAACACTGACACTGTGCTCCCAACATCTTCCACTGTCCAGGACAGTGCTCACTCCCACCATGACTCTGCACTTAGAGCAAAGAAAAGTGATTCTGCACCTGTACATTCCTAGAGATGACATTTTAATTACTCAGGTTATAGATGTCTCGATGTAGTTCTAGAATTTCTTCCCAAGTTCATGCAATGTTTTATAGGCTCTTAAAGTAAATTACTGACATGTGAAAGCTACTTTATTCAGAGTGGACAGTTAACACAACTTTATATTTTACCATTTACTACAGAAATGATACAAAACCTCCAGATACCAGAGCAGGTATGTACAAAAATACAGAACACCCAGACTTCTCAGGATTTGTTAATAAAACAAAATAAAACCCCCAAAGCACCACAATTTCTGCCTTCTTCCTTCCCTTCATAGGGTTTTCCTTTCAAAGCAGCTATTACATTGCACATTTGTATGTCCTCACTTCCTCTATCCATTTGTAATCAAACAGCCCCTGGATACTGCAGGGAATCAAAGGCTCCATGGAACATCAACCTGAACTACAACCTTTCAAAAACAAAAATAAAAATCCTGTTGATCAGTAGTACATGAAATGATCTAAAATCCTACATCCCTTTTCCAAGATTCCTTTTCCACCTTCTGTTTCTTCTAAACCAGGACGACACCAACATGTAATGGCCCAGTGACAGTCACTTTTGGAAGGCATGGCAGTCTCCAGGTTCAGGACTAGTCACTGAGCTCCAGGTCATACTCAGGATAGAGCTGTTTTGTAGTGACCCCTCGGATAACAGCTATAAAGGAAATAAAGAAACAGCATTACCTTCATTAAACAAAGATCAGATGAGTCAGAAATGTGGTGTTTCCCTCCCCTAATTATCCCATAGCACATCTCGTAGCCAGGAATAGTTTTGCAGCTGTGCCTCCTGCTTGCCCAAACACTTTTTTTTAAAGTGAAGAATCTGCAACACAATCTTTGCCTCCATGGTATCAACTTCTTTCTGTGTCTGTATGAAAACAGTGACTAAAAAAGTCTTGAACAGCTTTCCCTTCCTTACCTAGCTTGCCCAGGAGCATCTGCCCAGCATCTTTGATTTCATTGTACTCATGGAGAAGTGAGATGTGCTTGTCTAGTTCTTCCAGGCTGTAGCCCCTGTAAAATAAGATCAGAAATGTCACAAATGACACAGAGGGACTGAGGGTTCCTGCTGCTGTGGGAGATACTCAAGCCTGGCACCTCAGAATCCACAAAAATGCAGCAAAGTGCAGTTGCTGCAAAGCATAAGCATGAAAGCTCTAAATAAGCTCCAGAGAGCCAATTCACCCAAGTTCTCAGAATCAAGTAGAATCAAGAGCAGGGGCAGTGAATTCCATTGACATGTATCTCTAACTTGTTTATAGGGAAAAAATTAAGAATCATTTAGGATGGAAAAGACCTCCAAGATCATTAAGTCTAACCTTTGGCCAAGCACCACCATTTTAACTAAACCAGAGTACTGAGTGCCATATCCAGTCATCTCTTGAACACCTCCAGGGACCATGACTCCATCCTCTCCCTGGCCAGCCCATTCCAATGTTTCATCACCCTTTCAGCAAAGAAATTCCTCCTGATGTCCAACCTGAAGTTCCCCTGGCACAGTCTGTGGCCATCTCCTCTTGTCCTGTAGCTAGGGTTTGTTTATCCTTGAGGATAAATGATAAAGGGTTCTAGAACAGCCTTTGTTGTTCTACCATTTCCATCCTATGCACTACACTTACCTTAGAAAATATCAATCCTTCACAACAAATAACAAATGGCTAAAATTATCTGTTCCCAGTAAACACATAATTACCTCAGGAACACCCAGGCTAAAGCAAAAATCCTCTTATGCAAGCTCCTAGTAAAACTTGTTTTGCTTTACCACATGAAGTGGAAAGATTGTCTCTAACAAGTCCCATCACTTACAACAACTCTGCAACCAACACTGCACCATGCCAACAATGGCATCACAGAAGGTCAGCTCTCAGCTCCAATTCCTGGATCACATTTTGTTTTAAAAACAAAAATAATTAAGACATCACAGTGAACACTGAGCTTGCCAAGGACATACTCGGACAATAATTGTGCAATTTCCTGGTCTAGAGCAAGGTCTTTGCGTTTCAGCTCTTCGATTTCACACCGCAGGGCTTCTTCACTGGCTCCATTAGGCTGGAAAGACTTTGGAGATGGGATCTGTAGAACACAGAAGACATGTAGCAGGAACTCTGCTTCAGATAAGATGCTGGAGCACTCATGGGAAAATAGTGTGTGTGTCACTGGATAAAACGAGAAAATAGAAAAGGAAAAAAGAATATCCCCAGGGCAGGGAGGAAGGGTTCAAATAAAATATGGATCAGTGTACATAATATTAGCCTGCACCATATCATATCCGACAGCACTTTAAAGAGTTACACTGCAAAGTGAAAACAAATAATTAAAAATCATAATGTGCCTTTTACGAGAAACTCCCAGCGCAAACTGCGGTGCCGGCACTAACCCGGGGAAACAGAACCTTCACCCTCAAGTCAAAACATGGCCCGCCGGGCCTGGCTGAGCCCCCGCGAACGTGTGAGCGGCTCCCGGGGCAGCCCCGCGCAGAACTCACCGGTGCCCTGAATCCGGCCGTGCCGCTCCGCCGGCCGCCGGCCGAG